GCTTTTCTCTGTATCTATGAAGCGCCTTGAGGCGACATTTGTTGTGATTTGGCGCTATATAAATAAAATTGAATTGAATTGAATTGAATTGAAAAAAAGAAGGTATCTAAGTTTTTAATTAAATTGCTAAGCAGATAAGCTACTCAGAAACATCACTGTGTTTGAGCAGTAACAGGAAGTGATACTCTACCGCAGAGAGAGCGAACACCAATTGTTAATATCCGCGCAATATGGTGCAAATGGAAAAGAATGTGTCACTGTTTGTTTACAGGTGCGTATTACTTGTGCAAGCTCGCTGGCATTACTGTAAACAAAGGTTATTGGGAAGGGAGATTTTACGCTCAAGTTTCATCTTGTGACCTAAGCAGGAAGCAGCGTCTTTTCTCTGAGTCGTCACATCTTGACTGAGCCCAAGATCATCAGCTGAAGCAGCTTTAAACTCTTGTTTAAACTGTTAACTGTCTCCTCCCAGCTTTTTCAAGTGGTCTCAGTCACTATAGTACCTGTGCAGGTAGGCCAAACAGAGTGCATTCCAATAGACCAGACATGTGACAGGAAGTATCTGTGGTGTTCCAGTTATCCAAACACTAAGGAAAGGAGCTTCAGTACTTCCTTTAGCATAGGGTACATGCTAACATTACTGTGTTATTGTGCCACATGCGTTTATGCATTCATGGCTTCTATGGGTGGGGCTAACTTGTACTGACTGAGTGTGAGATCTGAGTGTCAGGACAAGGCCAAAGACTCCAAGTGCAGATCATGCCTTCCTTCTGATAACAAACAGTCCGAGCAGCAGCTATCACAAACACAACAGCCATGACTTTTTTCTCTTAGATTTTGTTCAATTTTCAGTAAATTGTGTGTCACAGACTTTTTAATTCACAGTTGGGCGACTGAGTGAAATATTCTCCTCCTGAAAGTGAAACTCTTGGAAATACGTTTGTGAGTGTTTACGAGTGTCTTCATGCGGCTGCAGACGTTGAATGTTCCTTCTTCTTTAAAACTCCAGCCTTTGTAATGAAGGATAGTTTTGTTGTGAAGCACAAATTAATGTAATAATATCCAATAATAATAATGGATTGCATTTATACAGCGCTTTTCGAGACCCTCAAAACGCTTTACAATTCCACTATTCATTCACTCTCACATTCACACACTGGTGGAGGCAGCTACAGTTGTAGCC